AAGAAAAAAAAAAAAAAAAAAATATATATATATATATATACACAATACATTGTGTATATATATACACAATACAATGTTATTAAACAGGTACCCGATAACCCTGAATATCCAGTAAATCGATAATCAGGTTGCAGTCTGATCCTGTCCATGCAAGTATGAATAAATTATACTGGGAGTTAACGAAAATAAACGGTGTAATTTCTTATTTGCTTTCAAAAACTTTATACAAAAGTAGAGAAGTATAGTTTTAGTTTTCAAAAAGTTTCATTTTGTATTACAAATACAATTCTTTTTCTTCGTATTTGAATTTTTCCTTTGTTTAGCAAAGGCACTCATACAATTAGAGCGAAATTGAGCCCGCAAGGGAAAAAATTTAATCTAACTGCGTATTTTCTAATATTGAATTATTCAAAGTTTGTAACATATATATAACTTTAATTGTACTGTCAATGTATATAAAGAGATGCTCACATGGTTTTTCTACCAGCTTGTTATTCACAACGATTATTAAAATATAAGTTAAAAGTATCGATGAAGGCATCGGGGCATTGTAAATAGTTAGAATGCAAAGCAATGATAAATAATTAATTACAAATGGTTTACCTAAAGTACAGAGACGTTCGGTAGAACATTGTTTAATATGAATTGCCCATAACTATCATTGTCATGTACTAAAACCCTACATCCGATTCTGATGAAATAACTTTCAAAATACCAATAAGATACTACGTATTTCCGTTATGACTGCAAAAAAATACTTTGATATCCCGTTTCCGGTTGAAAACATAATAATGAATTTAAATAACATCAAGCTGCATGCATGCCAAATATCATAAAAAAAAGTCGAGCATTGACTCTGGCAATTCCTAGGTTTGCTGCTATGCTTTGCTGGCGCTCGATATGCCGACAGAGACTGGCCATTTTTCAGTTTTATATAGTAGATGTTGTGGAGGGTTTTTCTCTGAATTCAAAGTTCGTATTTTATTTTTAATGAATTCAAAAATAAAAACAATAAATATAACTTGTATGTTGTTTATAGGATCCTGTGTTATTTACTGGTCCTCTTCGCAGAAACATTGACCCTTTCAATGAATATTCCGAAGAAATGTTATGGCAAGCGATCGAAGAGGTAAGAAATTAAAGAATGTTTTAAATTCACAAGTTCGTTTTGATTTCATTTTTATTACTGTAGAGAACTGCTTATACGTATCTGTTGTAAACAACCTTTTTATTTATTTGTGATTTTATATTACTTCCAAGACTAGCCCATTTTTTACGATAAAATTTCAGTTTATAGACTAAATTAATTACGAAAATTGTCATACATATTGTCATTCGTACCATAGTAGCTAGTAGTAGAAAGTTATACAGACAATTGCCAACTGTTAGAATATAGATATAATAGTCACCAATCGATGAATAAAAGTCTATCAAGATGCTAACCCAACATTCCACATCAGTCCTTTAGAGTAAATCGTAAACTAAGTAGTAAATTTCGCGTACTTGTGACATAATTGCAGTGATACGCATTATCTCAATTTACCATTATAGAAATATGTAGTTAGTTAATCTATACAATACACGGTAGATACATTCCGGTTTTTATGAAATTTATTTTCTACGAGTCCTTAAATATATGAGTCAATCACAGCCCGGTACGTATGAAGTTTAGTGACTACGGCTGTTTGAAAGGTTTTCTTCCATAAAATTAATCGATTCTAGACTAATTCGACTCAACATTTCCAAAACACGTATAATTTTTTGGGAATAATCCATATAAACTATGCTATAAACATAACATTGTAGGATTACTTACCGAGTGTGCACCGTTCGACGACGCCATTGCTTAATCTTGTTTTCGTCGTGGAGCTTGTCATCGAATGGCGCTGATGTGCTTCCTGATAGATTATTTTTTTTTGCGAAAAAATCGCTGGCTTTGGAGACATCGTTAATATAAATATAATTTTTATGGCCGTTAAATAATAAACGGTTTTTAGTAGGTTTAAACTTAACGGTCTGTGCAATCTCCGCTATTGGTCTAGATTCGACCAATCTTGTAGCGACACGAGTCAGCGATGAAGTTTTACCGTATTATACGAGTTTCTTTTTAGCGAGTTTATACGAATACGCTCGCAATTTTTCGCCGTTATATACGAATCCGTATTATATGAACCCGTTTAATACGGCGATCAACTGTATATTTCCTGCAAGGTATATTGATGACATATTGATTATTTGTAATAGTGTAATAACGACACCTATTGAAATATCGAAACAAGCCTATAGGATTAAAGCTTAATTTAAAGAATAGGGATGAGTTATATAAAAATTTGTAAATGCTAGTAAGGAGTAAAATTTTTAATATGTTCGACCTTTCTCGAGATATATGTGACTCTCTTGTATCTCCCTATTCCTTCGAAATTTTACCACCAAAATTTAATTATCTCAATGTCCCTTATACAAACTTACCAACAGAAATTTCGTTTTTTTATATTTTTCATTTTGACATTTTAAACGAAACAGACGCAAACATAGACACAAAAATAAAACACATACATACATATTTCGTACAAAAATTTTTTGGCTTACTTTACTTCAGAGATGTCACGATTACAAAATTATAAGGGGAGAGATGTAAGATGAGAAAAGTTATGTTAAAACCTTCAGGAAGTTAACAAGAAATTGAAAATTTCACATGATTACTATACTGTGCTTTCTTGTGTTTTGTTGTAACAGCAGGGAAGGTAAAACCGTAATCAATAACACAATACTATTCATTTTCAGTGGCATTTCGGTCTTAAAAATTTAAAAATAATTTATTAGTAAAGACGTGAATCATGTCTACACCAATACTAAAAACTAAAACTAAATTTTTCCGAAAAATCTTGAACTAATGTTTTCTAAGACGAACTATAGGTTTTTTAATATTGTGTAATCAAAAATTTATGTCTAAATTAACCATATCCTTTTCATTATATTAATCACATACTTGTTGAATAAAATGTTTTAGGTACAGTTGAAAGATGTTATAAAAAATTTGCCTGGAGGAATAGATACGCATTTAACAGAAGGAGGACGAAATTTCAGCGTTGGAGAAAGACAGTTAATTTGTCTTGCCAGGACAATCCTTTGTCAGAATAAAATTCTTGTCATGGATGAAGCAACATCCAATATCGATAAAATGTAAGATGACTGAGTTGTGTAATTTTACATTTTAAGGTAACCACATATTGTCTAAATATATATTATTAATTCATTCTATATTTAAACAATTAATATTATTCGTTTGTTTCGCTGTTTTTATAAATTATATATTCATCATTTATATGTAAAATTAGATCCATTCTCAAATAAATAACATGAATTTTCTGTGTTTAGGGTTTTAAGTATTAACAGTTTTTAGTAGAGTATATTCTAGCCACTATACATTTTCTGTAAATATTCTAGCTTGTATTAAATATGAATTTATATTATAACAATTCAAAAAACCTTAAGTTTAATTAGGTTATGTTATACGTTTAAAATGTCTAGTTATTATTTACTTACAGAATAAAATTTATTACGTTTCGTGCTTACCATACGTACACTAGTCTAGTGCATAAACGTCATAAGAAAAAACATATCTTGAAAAACTTTAAATAAAAGAAATTTACGATTCGAACCGAACGACCGCTCTGCTGTCATTGCTCTACTCCTAAACAACTCTCAGAAGTAAGGAAAATCTACCTTTACAATCTTTGCAATCAGAAATGTTTTCATTGCAGATAAGGAAATTGCTGTATAAAGACATGTTCTACAATACTGAGAGAGGTATCAAGGTAATTCATCGTCTCGTGAAAAGAATTTAAGTAAACATACATGGTGGTCTGTACGACTAAGCTGGTTTTCAATATAGCGTCGAGATTGTTACTTATGTTTAGCGCTTGTTATGTGTTCTGTGTTTTTCAATTCCCTGTATTTGTTTTTGGATATAGCTATATTTAAACTTGGTCTGACTTTTTCAATTATTTGATATTTAGTGGTCCATACAAAAACAAAGTGATACAGATTTTTTCTATTTCCTGATGTGTCAATGAGTTGAGTCTTTTTGGTGTTTTCATATTATGTTAATGCAACACACATATAATGAAGGCGCTGTTGGTTCTGATAATTTCATTAACCAATTTTCATTTGTAAAATATATCTGTATCAATAACCCAGTCTGAATTCCTGAGATAAAAAATGCTTTCAAGCGTCTTTTATACTATTATGGAAATATTCTATATTTCAAAACTCCATTAAAATTTTCCATTTCCTGCATTTAGAATTGTTTATGTAAAACGAGTAATGGGAGTCATCCTCGCTTTCAGCATTGTTAATGATGAATGATTATAAATAAGATTGGTTTCCAATGTGTACACAGGCGATGAACTTAAGAAAATTGGAGTGTCCATAACAATATACAGTTTTGGTGATTTAGACTTTTCTGAAATATTAAAATTAAAACTTACATCGTCCCTGAATGTTAATACTTCGTATTTATTAATCAATTTCATAGTCTATTATTTTTACTTATCTGTTAATATTCAAACATATGATTGCATGAAATAGAAACAATATTTAATATTATAAAATACATATATTAACTTACTAACGTATTTAAATTTCTTGCAGGACTGACACTCGTATTCAGAAAATTATTCGTGAGAATTTTAAATCATGTACAGTGTTAACGATAGCACATAGATTAAATACAATTATCGATTCAGACAGAGTTTTGGTAAGTTTTATGATGTAAAATAATATGAAGAAATATAAGTTTCATTTAAATGTTTAAAATTTTAGGTATTACATTCAGGAACTATTCAAGAGTTTGATGCACCATATATATTACTAAATGATGTAAATAGTACTTTTTATAATTTGGTAAAGAACACAGGAAAGACTTCAGAGAAAGATCTTTATAATATTGCCAATAATAAAATTTCTGGTCGGAAAATTATAAGTGAATAGATACTTACTATACAAATTATTTTTTGTACTTTCTGGATTATTATTCATCTTTTAAGACTTTCTTCTTAGAAGCTTGTCTTTGATCATTCGTTTCATGTAAGAATTCAAATCGCCGACATCTCAAATTTACAATATTTTACTTGTCGTTACGTTGTTAAATTTATGGTTAGTCATTTAAATGAAGATTTTTCGAATGTCTAATGTGAAGGTTCAGCTAAACTGACGATGATTGAAATCTTGCTGAATAACAGAACATTTGTTAATATGATAAAAGTTAATGATTATTAGTGAATATAATATCTTAATATTTTGTTGCACAGTTAACATTTATACGAAGTTTTTGAAAATTATTAATAACCGGAAACTAGCTTTTTCAGAACTCCTATAATATATTGTGAAATAATTAGCATGATAATGTTTTCACCACGGAAAACATATAGGTGTATTGTAATGATTGTATTGATTTTGTGTGATGTAAGGGAAAATAAAAAAAATATGTATCATTTCTGCAAAATTTTAAAAGTTAATTATGAAAGTGAAATTAAAAATGATTATCAAATAAACAACAGAATAATTTTCATTAAACATAATATTTTTTTTACTATTATAATAACATCATATGTCTTTTATCTCTCTTTTCACATAGAGTTTATTGTTATTTTTGTCATGCAGATTAAAATGTCGAATAAATTGAAATTTAAAGCATTTTCTTATTTTTAACTTTTTAAAATATATAATGTTTTAATTTACAAAATTTTCTTTTGAACAGAATCGATTAGAAAATACTGTAACATGCAAATATGTAATCGTCAAGATATCAATACAGAACGAATCTGTCGTAGAGAATAATACTATTTGTTATATAATTTCTTCATTCTTAATTCTTAAACTAATGTTAATTTTATTTCCATGAGCTATGTAGTTATTTATTACAATGCGATTGTTGCATATTGAGGTTGTTTAATAGATTTTTCTCAATTATGGTTCCAGAAAAAATTCAGAAACTAACTCTACTGTAATTAAATTTTTACTTTATTATGTAGCAATATCATTCACATATATTTACCTATATCATCATTCGGTGAAACTATTAGAATTTTTTAACTTATAATGCTGTTTGTGCATTTGGCATTGGGCTCATAAATCATAATACTCGACTATTTGGTCGTCCACTGATCACTCATTCAATTAATTCATTTTTCATATAAAAATCATCTGCCTTTAAATTATCAGCAACAAATATTAATGTTCACTTTAATATTTTGAGCCACGTCTAGTTTCCAAATTACATATCTTATGTGAGAAACTGCGCGACAATCCTCCAAAAGAATTTATAATAAAATTGTAATATTCATTACTTGTACAGTACTTCCCATTGTCAATTGTTAAAAACATTTTCCTGACTACAATTGAGATAATTATATTTTTATTTGATCCACTTCTAACTGATAAACAGCCTAAGTTTTTGTTTACTTTGTCATATAACCATTATAACAGTAGTATTTTTTTATTATTTAATTTCGTATAAAATTAAAGCTCAACGAGAATCCCTTGTACTAATTTAATATTCATGAATATTTGACATGTACACTTAGCAATTTTTAAACATTTATGATACTAACTAACCAGATAACTATACTGTTATGTAATAAAAATTTTATAAAATGTGGTTGTGCTAACTGTAAGAGTCAATATTGTACCTTTTATAAAATGTTGTAACCAATACTATGTTTATTTATATATAAAAATAAATCTATATCCTAATACCGAGTTTTTTTTATACAATTCAGACACATTACATCACTTGAGTGGGAAAAAATTCTCGCGTTTACTGATCGATGAAAATAATATCAGACGCTTCAAAAACTATATTAAATGGGACATTATAAGCAAAAAACTGATTTAAGTCCGGATTTCATTTCTGAATTCTCAGATAATTTTTACTGGGGATTAATATGGAAAAATTATATATTTCCTACTTCATTCACCAAAAAACATATTAGACATACAAATGGGATTTAATTGCAAATCATTAAGTATTAGACGAAGAATTCATGAATAATTTTTCAAAATATCTCAATTGATATAAGATAGACGAATTTCAAATTCTCTCAGATAAATTTGTTAAGAACTTTACATGCACATTAGATATGAGAATAGTTTTATGTGAGGGCCAGGATTTAAGAATACTGAGATTCGAATATTCTTATTCATTTTCATCTACCGTTTTTGTTTCGAAATCAAAATGATTTTATAAAAGTTAGGGTTAACTCAAAAAGAGAAAAACAACCGACAAATTTTCTCATAAAAAATCGATCATAAAACTCCGTTCCCACGAAAATACTTCCTTGTAGAAGATGAGTTAACTGTTATGACATAATTTTGTTACTTAACCCACCATTGGTGAAAGGAGATCATTACCCTTTGACGTTCATGGGGAAATCTCGAGAAGAGAGCCCCACATAAAAGGCAAGTGCGATGACGACACCGGGGGAAAAAAGTTATTTTGTACTGTGAGTGTCTGTGGATTTTCTGCCTCTCGTCGCCACCATCTTCGATAGACTTCCTATCTGAACTATTCTACGATTTTTGGACTTACGTCGACTCAACGAACTGTTACAACGATCCCGGATCCGAACTCAAAGATCATCAAGAAACCATCCTGTACGATTAGAGGTATTTATCCTACTCGCGATGATATGTAAGCTCTCTCTCGAGTACTTTCGAAACGCGGATAGGGTCGCGACTATTATATATTGTCAGCTACCTTTCCCGAATGGAAATACCTATACGGAATGTTAACCCGGAGAGAGAACCCTTAATAATCTATAACCATGTAAATACGTTCTACACTAAACGGGTATTTTGTTAATGAAATTGGATTGGTGTGCGTTTCTTCCTACATTACCACCTCCATTCCCACCCCGAAAATCATGAACGAGATCGATCCTGTTAAATCGACCTCACTTAAAAGCGTATCTATCCGCCGATAAATTGATAGATTAGTTTCAGATCCTGACGTGAAATAAGATCTAACGATCCTTAACTTTATAACTCTTCCGCTCAACAGAACTCATCCTTTGGACAAGCGAAACCGGACTTCAAGCTCTTGAGTCGATTACGAGGTAGGAGAGTCGAGAACTCGTAACATCCTACCCCCGATTAATCTCACATTTAAAATACCAACAATTCAATAACGACAATCTACGTGAGCTAAAACATTATTTACATCGGGACTTCGTTTTCCGTTATCAAATATTAATCGTAAAATCCATTTATTAATGATTTCCAAAATCATCCTTCTTGGTGTAATGTTTTAAAATATCAAAAAGTTAATCGAAAATATATTTCGATAATTCACATAGTTTATTAGTCAATATTCTTGATGTTATGATGGAAAAATTAATAAATTTAAAGAAGAAAATTAAGAGTGTGTTCTTAATAAACGTAAAATTACTTAGGGGTATATTTTATTTATAAGATTACATAAGTGTATCGAATCACTACTATTACTTGTTTAGTGCAGTAAACAACACTCAATTATCCTAAATACCTGTACTATTTTTGTTTTAGATGTCCTGGCAATCAGATGATTTGAACATAAAAGAAAGATTGTCACATCTTATGAAATCTGGACAAATGACAGTCGTCACTTTAATTCTTGGCCAAGAAAAAAAGTATTTTCCGACCCACTCACTGCTTCTCTCTATACATAGCGAGGTATTTTATGCAATGTTCTATGGTTCTATGGCGGAGAAGAGACAAGATGTTGCATTGCCTGAAGATGATGTTAAAGCATTTCGTGTTTTCATAAAGTAAGTTATACTAAACTTTTGCGTAGTATTTTTAATAATTATTGAAATACTATTCCATTATTATAAAGTAAGCTATCAAATTAATATTATACATATTAAAATTAAAGTTTCTTCGATGCTTTTTTTATTGTTTATTTAATACTTTTTCTCAAAGTTTTTTTGAAATTTAAAATTCATAAAACATTTTCATTATTGTCATTACTTCTTGGCTGCATTTTGGCAGTTTTATGGCTGTAACCTACAATTTTAATACCTACAACACAGAAAGATATCCCGATTATAAGTTACATAACATTACATTAATTAGCGTTTAATAAAAAATGTGATGCTTTTTTCACAAAAACCAAATGAAAAATATTGGTAAGAAATACTCCATATTATTTAGACATAAAGTATATTGAATTGATAGAATAAAGCAACTAGCACAAAAGTGGTCTGTTTCCAAGACGATCGAATGGAAACTCGATCCTATGTAGGTGTTAGATACAAAAAGAAACCCCGAAAAAATCCACACAGCAAGCCCGTTTATCAAAAGTCTGGTGAATTTATTTTTTTATAAATTAAAAAGCCAGCATGCAAAATTTTACCTGCTTATAATTAACATTTAACACGAATTCTTCCTTACTTTCCTATCAAGGAGAGGAATTTTTCTGCGCTTTATTTCGCTGTTTAGTATTGATTACCACAATGCTAAACAACGAAATAGGAAACAGCAAAAATATTTTCAGTATGTATCGTATCATCTGATCAGTTCAAACATCTTAACAAATTGTATTATATCGACAAACTAGTCTTGATGAATTTGTTTATTTCTTTTGGTTATAAAATGATTTTATTTTTAAAGTATTACAGCGAAGCATAAAAAAATAAATCATGTAGACTATTAAATAATTTGAGAGTTTCAGCATACTTTCCAAGAAGAAATGATAAAATTAAACTAAACAAACTTGGATCAGTGTTAGAACTTTACTAGAAGTAAAAATCTTTTAAATTCCAATTTATAATCTATAACGAATCTATTAAAGTAATTAATTATTTTTCAGATATATATATACATACAGATGATGTGGCATTACATTCAGCAGATGAAGCCATTTTTTCGTTACATTTTGCAGAAAAATACATGGTAACGCGTATGAAGAAGCGATGTTTATCATATCTTACAGATAATATATGTTTAGATAATGTTCTCGATATATACGAAACAGCATCCCTACTTAAACAAAACGAATTAGCAACGAAATGTTGGGATTGCATAACTGGAAATACGTCAGAAATTATTAAGCAAAATAGCATTAAAAATGTGGAATATGAAACTATTTTAAAACTTGTATCCGAAGATAATTTAAAGTTGCAATCGGAAGTAGATATGTATGAAGCCGTCATAAAGTGGGGTAAAGAAAGATTTCAAGATCAATCTCCTGAGGATCTTCGAAAAAAATTAAAGCCTTTGTTGGATCAGATCAGATTTTTAACCATGACCTCTGCAGAGTTTTCAGAATCTCCGTGCCAAGATGGCATCCTTACTAGCGATGAACAGGTCGACATATTTAGAGAAATTGCAACCAAAAAAAATTATGAAAGTAACAATATACGTGATCAATGGAGAAAGCCAAGAAAGAAAATTACTACAGTGAGAATCGTTACGCCAATATATGAATACAGTGTACCCTTACGTATATACGATAGTCACCGCTCTGTTTTCTAAATCTAGGGGACGAAAAGAAGCAATGGGCGGCAGGGGAGCTGGAGGCAGTGTACTGAACGGTGAACATAGGGAAAGGTTGTAGTCACTGACAGCCTTTGACTTTCCTCTGATAATATCTTAACACATTAGAATTCATAACTTTGTGTAATATTTATTTACGTAATTTAGAAATTAATAAGAATTTGATATAACGATTGCAGTTCATGTAGAGCGTAGGCGATAAAATTAGTTCTTATCCATCAAAATATACCAACGGAAGGACTTCTTGTTATCAATACAGTATAATATTATTTACTTAGATTTTAGTAAGAGAGTTATAGAGTCCCGAAAACTCAGCACTTGATAATCCGGCAGTCCGGATAACTAGGCCACACCCNCAGACGATAATAAACTCAACTTACTAGCCTAAAATCTCCGTAGCGTGTTGCCAGGTGGCAGAAAGCATATATATAATTATAATAAAGTTACAATAAATTAAGTTAATATATAATTATATGTATAGTACCTAATTTATATATAATTAATATATAATTATATGTACAGTACCTAATTTATATATAATTTATATATAATACTGTACAGATGATAGCAAATTCAATTTAGTTGCTCTGTAGTGTAGCGCAGGGCAGAGAAAAGTAGTTCGGCTGCTCATCCACTATTGGTCCAGATTCTATCAATCTTGTAGCGAAACGAGTCAGCAAGGACGTTTTAGAAGCTCCTTTATACGTATGTTGCTACAATTTTTTCGCTACGTTATAAAAATTTCCGTTATAGGAACACACATTATAGGGGGTCGACTGTATAGTGTTCTTTTAATTCTGCGCTTTATTCTGTATCTAGTGATATAAATTACTTGTGTATTGATAAAATTGCTTTTTTAGTATTTATTTTTACGTAATTTCATACAAAAAATGCCAAAAATAAACATATCAGGTTTCACTTGCCATCAGATTAGCTCAACTTTCACCCATTGTCCTCGGTTTCACTGTAATCTGAGAATAGATTGTGTTTCAAAGTCCAGTGTTCAATGTTTATTGCCTTTGCGGTAATGTCAGTAGAGCAGAAGTCAATTCATTTCTATAATAAACCGCTAAGTGTTTTATTACCATTTAAACAACTGCTTCCCACTTGTTATTTTTACTAGTGAGGGGTCGAAGGGCTGAACAAACAAACAAGCATAGTCACATATATGAACAAATAAGTTTCAATAAATAATTGATTAAATCTTTTCTGACCCAATAAAATCAAACAAAGCTTTATTTTTTACTTTGTTTCTGTCATTTTATGCATAAAAATGCAAACACATGGAATATAATATAATATTACCAATATCTATATAAATTTTACATATTTATTACAAGCAAAATGTTTATGTATGGACAACAGAAATCGTAATCGAGACTAATATTTTATATAAAAGTGCCATAGACTCACGACAAGTACTTTATAAGCACTTTTCCAAATTTCATGTTTATATCAATTTGATTGTGATTCTAAATTAATTAGTTTTAACTCGTTTTTTGAATCCGTGTTTTCGTATTTATTTACTATTGAACACAAGACTGTGTTATTATTAAAACACTTGGTGTTTATCCACTTTATCCCGATTCAACTAAATAAAGTGGATAAACGCCAAGTGTTTTAATAATAACACAGTCTTGTGTTCAATAGTAAAAAAATTAGTTTTAATTTTATTTTTAGTTTCAGTTTTGGCGTAAAGGACAGTGTTTTAATATTACATTGTTTTTAAATCTTATTTTAGCATTTTTAAACACAAGTTCGTGGATATCATTTTCATTATTGAATGTCAACTAACATGGTTTTTGTTAAATCATAACATTTCTAAAATTATTTATAATCCTACTGTTAATTCAAAAATATCTCAGATTTACATTAGGATTTTCAGCGGGTAAACAAAATTGTACCACACACAAACACACACACACACACACACACACACATGTTTGTGTGGCACAATTTTCTTCACAAATATTTTTGAGGTGGACTGTACAATAGTTATTCGATTTTCTTTTATTGTCGTTACTGTTCATTACTAGATTTAACAATGTAATTTCTATTTTTAATTTTCTCTTTATTGATGTTTCTTTTTCTATACCAATTTAACGTTCAAGGTAAGTTAGAAATAGTAACCCTTCATTAGTTTTTACTTTCAATTGAATTTTGATATTAAATAGCGAAATGGTTTAAGATATGTAAACAGAATCAGCAACTAAAAAACACATTATTTTTATTTTGAATTTCACACTTTAAACATATTCAATTATTAAAATACAAAAGCGGAAATAGAAATTTCACATAAGAAATAACTTTTTAGCAGTAATTTTTAAAGCAATGCATCAATATTTAACGCAATAACAAGAATTAAAATTCAAAATCAATTATGATAATAAAAAGCCAAAATTTAAAAATTATATATGTAATTTCGGTCAGAAGCTCTATAAAGTATAACATTGCTTCTAATTACCAACTAAGACCATTTTCTTCAACCTTGGGGCTGTTGTCACTGTAAAACTGAGAGTACCATTTTCTATATTTGGCAATTGTTCTGTCTTCTGATACATAAACTGGATTCTTCAAATACATTTTGTAATTCCATATTCGAATGTCCCGTTCAAGCTATTAAAATAAATATTTCCAATTATTAATACACACGTTTCTTGTATATTTTCAAATTTCAGTAATTGGAATGATATAATCTCACCATACAACATTCAAAAAAAAACATAATATAATCACGTATGCCTATAAATCGAGAAGGAGTATAAAATTGTCGTATCAATCTTAGTCGAACTGGTCCTTCTGGTATCATGCCATATACGAATATACCGTTTCCATATATACTTTTGAATTGAACACGCATTATTGCGGGTCCAATCTGAAAAATTAAATATATTTGAGAATTATACATAAGCAATCGTTTTATAAAAGTTGATTTTTTAGACGCATTTAAAATTTATTATTTTATAATATTTTAAAATGAAGGATGTAAACGTAACGTGGAGAGCTATTGTCTAATTACTATTATTCAGAGTATAACTAAAATAATTGAAAAGGCTATCTATAGGTAATTTTTTGAATTTGTCAATAAATATAAAATTATCTAATAATCAACATGGTTTTAAAAGAGAGACCTCTACAATTGATGCTTTGAATTATCTTAAACAATATATTAGTAACAGTCTCGATAATTCAAATATTGTAAATTCAGTGTTAATTGATCTGACCAACGCTATTGATAGAGTAGACATTCAGATAGTAAAACGAAAATTGTTTAAAGTTGAATTGTGAGGAGTGCCATTGGAATGGCTAATATCCAATTTATCAAATCGTATATACTAGGTTAAGGTAAAAAATTGAATATCAAAACCTTCTCTAGTCAATAAAGGTGTCCCGCAGGGATCCATTTTGGACTCTCCACTTTTTAATATATATGTAAACAATATAGTAATAAAAGAGTGAGAATTCTTACCCAAAATTTAGAAATATAAAAATTAGGATAAATGTTTAAAAATTCAGTGTAAAAACTTTAAAAATTCAGTTAAAAAAGTTTAAAAATTTAAAAGTTTTAAAAATAGCATTTACATATTTCGTCCTAAAAAATTCTATTAATTAATTAATTAATTAATTTAAAAAGTTAAGCGAATTATCTACAAAAATTTAAATATCCGTAAAAAACAGTAAATATAAAAAACTAATTATTAGTTTATTTCAGCTTTCTCTACACAAATTGTACATATTTTCAATTGATTAGTGCATTCATATCTTTTTCAATCAAATGTTTGTTAAATTGATCCAGTAGAAAAAACCACGATTACCATACTGGATATTCATAATTAATTTCTTTGTTGGAGTAATGTAAAGTCTCTTTTTATGCGGATTATTTTTATGCGATTTTGAAATTGTGCGGTTTGTATTTCATCCAAAAATTTCTTGGACAAACATACATATAGACTTGTTTAGGAAGCATGCGTATAGACAGTCTCCAAAAATCGTGGAACGCTCAAAGCTCACTCCATTTGTTCCACTGACATATAACGTTTATGGATGTAAAAGACAGCTAGATCTACCTTAATCGCTTTAGTTCCTAGCAATTTTTGATATAAATGTAATTAAACATAAAAAATACTTAAAACTGAAAAAAACGAAAGAAATGCGTTAATTTTGAAGAAAAAGCTTCAAAGTTTAACTTCCTTTGTCTCGCCCTTCTGTGAAATTTAACACCGATGAGTCATTGTTTACACATCTGGATGACCTTGAACACAGCTGGAGTTGGATTTCCCGGGGCATTCTCATAGACGTCGCGGGAGGACAAGGGTTTAAAGTAGGGTGAACACTAGCTGGCCGTATATTTTTAAATATTTTTAAAAAATTTGGAGACTTAAAAAACATTCCAAAAATTCAAAAAAAAAATGTAAAAATGGCCTTAAGGACCGTGTTTTATGTAACGCTATGTAACCTGCCCGAGTTAACTCGGGCGAGGAACTAAAGGGGTTTTAATTAACTCTTCACATCCAGATGTCAGTGATTTGTTTTTAGAGTGAGCTTTTGCAATTCGGGGATTCCCCTTGTATTACTTTTCAATAAAATAAACTGAATTAAGTTTGAATACAAGTTTATTTTAAGCTTTTATATGAATTTCTTTCAGACATTCGAAGTGATTTATTAAGCAGCCTATTTCTTTTAATTTCTGCAAACTTTTTAATGCGGTTTTAAGTTAATTTTAACTCGTTGATTTGGTTTTATGCGATTTTAGAAAATTACGGAACGTATCTATACTTTTTCAAGGCAAGTAAAGTCATTTTTATGCGAATTTTTTATATGCGCTTTTCTGCAGAACGTATCCACCGCATAAAACGAGACCTTACAGTATTTTGAAGTTTACCATTTATCAAACAAACTGAATAATATGTGCTTTGTACATATTGCCACAATCTCTCATACCCTGTATACAAATTTAAAATTACTCATCTTATCGAAATCCTTATTCTTTAATTTTTTTATTAAATCGATCAGGTAGGAAAACTTGAAATTCATTCCATTCAGTTTCCCTAAGAACTACTAATTGTTATCACCAAAGCAAGTGGATATTGATTTAATATAAAAAATTGGATATTCATAATCAATTTCCAACTCGTTTAATTTCTTTGTTGGAGTAATTTGAAGTTTACCAATATTATTTAGTTTTTTTCAGTGTCTCCATTTATATAAGAAAAAAATGTAATCAGTGATGTCATAAAATATAGTGACGTCAATGATGCCATAAAAGAATCTAATCAGTGACGTCATAAAAATAAAAATAAACAGTGATGTTAATATAAAAAAATATCAGACATATCAATCCAACTATTAAATGAATCTGGCCATCCGTTCCACTTAATTAAATATTTATTTCCTTTCTTTTTAATTATTTTTTATCCTATAAACTTTATCCTTTTTATTATATTTCACTAAGTCATTTTCATAAAAAGTTCCTTTAATATCTTCATCATTTAAATTTTTAATTCGATAAGTAATTGGATCTGTCTTCAAGACTTCGGATGTTATAAATATTTCTTCTGTGAAGGAGGTTAAAAAATTGTCTAAACTGGAATTATGTTTCTCGTTACCAAATACTTGACCAGCAATTTATTGATGACTTCCAAAATGAACTTTCATAATGTTACATTTTAAAATATCAGAAAATATTGCAAACAATCACCAGAATTTATTACACCACTTACTAGAAGAAATGTGCCATGTTTTAAATAAAGTAAATCAAAAAACTGGAAAAGCTTAAATAAAATAAAGTAATTTAATCTATTAATGTAAAAATAAAAAAAATTTCAAAAATAATTTTCTTTTGGTGTTATATTATTTCATACAATTATTGTGTTTTAATTTTATTCGATATTAAAACATTTAATAATTAATACAAAAATTTGCCCTATTGTTAAAAATAAATTAATTTAATTCAACGTCATAAAAATATTTTAATAATTAAACTTATTGTTAAAATTAAATTAATTTAATTTAAATTTAATAATTAATATAACCTTATTGTTAAAATAAAATTAAGATTTTTGATCGAAAAATTAATTTTGTGATCTGAGTCACTTAGATTTTACAAATACATGAGCCGTACACAGCCCGGCACACGTATTTGTAAAATCTAAGTGACTCGTACAACATCGAATTAATATAAAACGGAATAATCAACAGTGTTATAGGGGGTCGACTGTATTAGTATTTTGCTATTAACCAACTGTGCGTTGAATTTTCATCGATGTAAAACCTAACAAATTTTTTTTAAAATAATAATCGATGCTACTGTATCCTTAAAAATTATTTTTAAATTATTTTATTGCTCACAAAATAAACAACCATCCACTAATAATTAGAAATAATTTCATGAAATAAACAGTATTTTAATTAGTAATTTAAATAATTTGTTCAAACACAACCAACAACAGATTTATACTAGCATATGTATATTTAAAAACGAACTTTTGATGTTGCTTAGTTAAGAGGAGTATAACAAGAGTCTGTTGTGTTCTACTTGAACCAAATGTTTAATTCAACATCTAAAATAAAGACATAAGACCTTTGATAAATGAACATATACAATATGAAGACGTTTAGTGGTTTATTTTAGAAAAAAAAATTCCAGTAAAAAATATTTATTTCAGAACATACCTAACAAAATCTTAGTATCATTAAAAGTAATTAATTACATTTTGAGTCTATTTACCAGCTTGAACAGACTGCACAAAATGCTGAATATGTTCTTAATATAATGTATGTATTGAGAATACATTTACTAAGTTGTGAAATTATTTCTGTGAATACAAATTACTTTCTGTCATATACGCATTTTTAGTTAATTTCCATTCGAAAAATCTATGGATCATTTTGGGCAATCCGTTGAAAATGATCGAAAATTATGTTTAAAATTTTGACACACATTTATTTTTTAAATATTTTCAAAAAATTCTGCACCGTAGTGTAAAATTAAATACATATAGGTAGTTACTAACTAATTACCTGTTGAATTTCATATGATGTCCATATTACAGATATCCCGAACAATTTAATAGTGATAATTCCTTCGTATTTGCAACAGTAAAATGTTTCTTCACATTTTACTGGAAGGCAAGAAATTATACAGTATAAATATTTCCACCAATTTTCCGGATGCAAAGTAATTCTAGACGTAATACCAAATTTGTGAACACAATTAATATGAGCGAAATCTGCTGCATTTTCCATAATTTCCTGTAGTATATTAATAAACAAGCATAAATACTACATTCATTTATTTTGCACGGTGCTGTTTATAAATACCTGAATATGACAATTCAAAATGTGTTCACTACGACCTTTATAGAACATAAGTCGATTCTGTATTTCTGGTATAACTGGAGGTTTCCACAGAGGAGGTTGGCCTTCTGCATGATGCCACACGTAAATAAATCCATTTCGTTCGATGGTTTCCCAACTTTTTGTATTAGCCACTTCTGGAACTAAGTATAAATACATTTTTTACTGTGTTCTATTTAATATTACTCAAAAAAACAAAAAATGTCTTTTCAGCATTGTAAGAATATGAAGGTCTGGTGCATTGGTTTTTTTGAAATGGTGAGAGTAGAACTAATTAATTTGTTTAATATGACACATGTAAATCGAACTACACTTTACTAGTAATACGTATAATTTTGTGAAGTTCACCATTTCCCCCAAACATTTTGTTATTATTGTATCTATATAAACATATCTGTACTAGCAGGTAAGCCCGGCGTTGCTCGGGCAAAAGTAACGATAGTGAATTTTAAAATTATTAAGTTATAGTCAACCTTGCCTATTTTTACAGAATGCAGGAATTGTGCCCCCTGTTTCCGGACTAAATAGAGAATTTTTTATTAGTCTAAAAATATGTTCGATTTTTCGCAAAAATAAAAAAAAATCCATCTGAGTCTTGCATGTTGCTTTCTCTTAACAATTCCATTGTTACGTAACACTTTCATTGTTACTTAACACTTCCATTGTTACTTGTCACTTCCATTGTTGATGAAAATGTTAAGCCTGTCCTTCTCCCCCGTGGGGAAGAATTTCGAAAAAATTCTTTCTTAGTGTACGTTTTCGGTACGTACCTTAACTGTGTACCAAATTTCAACTTTAAACTCCAAACTGTTTGGGCTCTGCGCTTATTATTATTATTGTGTTGGGTTTAGTGGGTAATACTCGATTTAAACAGGTGGCTGAGTACTATGTCAAACCAGAGTCAAGGCATAGCATCCAAAACAGATTAATTAAGTGTGTCAGTGTCAGTAATCAGGAATTTCCTAACAATATGACATGTATTCAATATAGTGGCCTTCTGTAGTGTGATGTATGTATTTCTACTCAATTGTAATGTTCCCAGGCTTTTGTGTAGTGTGTGTGGTATCACACCTGTACAGGAGAGAACAACAGGTACAATAAGCACCCTATCCATCCTCCACAGATGCCTTATTTCCTGGGCGAGTTCTGTGTACTTGACTAATTTTTTCAGTGCATGTGTTTTGTACATTGTGAGTGTTTGGAATGGCTATGTCTATAATGAATGTGATTTTATTGTGTTTGTCAATGAGTGTAATGTCTGGTCTGTTGTTGGAAATTGTTTTTTCTGTGATTATGGCTCTGTCGTAGTACATTTTGTGCGTGTTGTTTTCCAATACTGTTTGTGGTATATACTTGTAGTATGGTTCGTGGATGTCTACTAATTTGTGTTTCTTTGCAAGCTCTTGGTGTATTATATTTGCTACTTCATTATGTCTGTGTAAGTAATCTGTCTGTGCCAAGAGCTTGCACCCAGATGTAATGTGTTGTATAGTTTCTGGCATGATGTGACAATTTCTGCAAGTGTCATTTGTGAGTGTTGTATCTTTGATTTTGTGTTTTCTGTAGTTTTCAGTGTTTATGACCTGATCCTGTATGGCAATCATGAATCCGTCTGTCTCCCCAAAGGGGCATCCCCGATCTCACCAGCTGTTTGACGCAGTTTTGTCAACAAAATCCTGGACCAGGTCATAAGGATGCCTGCAACGGAGTGCCTTTCGAGCCCACGATTGCTTGATGGTGTCTATGCTTTTTATGTGTTGTGTCATGTCTGTGCGTTGTGAGTGTAAGTTTAATGGTGTGCTCTTTAAGTCTGCTAGAGTTACTGATTTATGTAATTGTGATGTTTCTTGTTTCCTGTAGAAAAACTCACGCAGTGACTGTATTTGTATGTAGTGAAGGTTAACTATGTCAATCAGGCCACGTCCGCCATCTTTACGTGGAAGGGTTAATCTTTCTGTAGCAGATTCAGGATGATGTTGTTTATGCTTAGTAAGTGTTGTTCTTGTTTTCCTTTGGAGTTGCTCGAGATCTGTGTGATTCCAATGTATAACTCCAAAAGAGTATGTGAGTACTGGGATGACATATGTGTTTATTGCTTTAACTGTGTGTTTCGCATTTATCAATAGCTGTGTTTTGAAAATGGAATTTAACCTACTTTGGTATTCTTTAATTAATCTTCGCTTTATTTGTGTATGTTCCGTTAGTTTAGCCTGTTGGAATCCTAAATTCTTGTAGAACTCGCCCTCTTCAATGGATTCAATAACATCTCCATTTCCAAGTGCAAAATCTTCTTTCTTCAGGATTCCTTTTTCTATGTGAAGTTTTTTGCATTTGTCTAAGCCAAACTCCATTTGTATGTCCTTAGTGTATGAGTGTGTAATTTGTAAGAGTTGATGAAGTTGTTTCTGTGTGGATGCATAAAGTTTTATGTCGCCCATGTACATGAGATGTGGCAGTGTAAACTGTGTTGTTTTTTCATGTCTGATATTGTAGCCGTAATGCGTGTTGTTTAACATGTTAAATAATGGGTTCAGGGCTAGGCAGAACCAGAGAAGACTCAAGGAATATCCTTGAAAATTTCCTCGCCTAATGAATATTTCGTTTGTTTGTATGGAAGTGTTGTTACTAACCCTGAGATGTAGTGTTGTTCTCCAGTGCTGCATAGTGTTTTAGAAGTGTTTTAGAAGTGTTTAGAAGAATGCAATGAGTGATGGATGTATTTCGTACATGTGTAGAATATGTAGCAGCCAACTGTGTGGAACACTGTTGAACGCTTTTCTGTAGTCTATATATGCCATGTGTATGTTTCTGTGTTGTTTGTGTGCTTGCCGTAGAACGACTGAATCTATTAGTAACTGTTCTTTGCATCCCCTGTGATTTCTACGGCAACCTTTTTGTTGTTCTGTAAGAATGTCGTGTTCTTCAACATGTTTGAATATTTTGTTTATGATACAGGATCTCAATAATTTGTAGAGTGTTGGAAGACATGTAATTGGTCTGTATTGTGTGGGGTCTGTGGTGTTGTTGTTTTTAGGTTTCAGTGGTGACCTGAGTAAGAAATTTTGGTATGTTTTGTGGATTGATGATGATGTGTGTTAGATGTTTAGCTAGTTCCTGGTGCAGTGATGTAAACTTTTTGTACCAGAAATTGTGAATGTTGTCTACACCAGGTGTCTTCCCGTTGTGTGTTCTGTTAACAGCGTATCGGATGTCGTGTACGTTTATTTCAGCACAGGGCATAGTTGGTATGTTGTGCAAGTTTCTGTTTTCATCCTCTGATGTAGTTGTTGTCTGTATGCTGTCATGTTTATTTTGAGTTTTGTGATTGCGTAGTAAGTACGGATGATAAAATCGTTCATTTCTGTTGTCCATTACATCTGTTGGCGTGGTTTTCCAGCCTTTATGGTCTGTGGATGCATTGCCACAGAAACAGCAAGGCTAGGTTGATTCCTCACGTCTGTTGAGGGCATTGCAGTAGCCATGCTTGGGCCGATGCTGCTTTTGCCACCGGTAACCAAGGGAGACTGTGGCTTATTTTTCGGACGTGAGCCTCTGCCTAACCCACGAACGCGGACCTTGTTAACCCGGGCAACGTCCGAGCCGATATTATACTTACATCTGGTTTCTACCATGATAAATATCTCCACAGAATGTGGGTGTGTGGTCACTTTTAGCTTCATTTCTCCCCATAGATCTTACTAGCATGGGTGTCCCTTCCAAAAGCTTGTGCTCCAGCGTGCATTGCTCTTTAGTTCAGTAAAATTACTGGGCTCTCCCACCACGACCAGGTGGTGACCACGGGAGAGTTATTATTATTATTATTATCATTATCAACCTGTCTCGATTATATATTAGATTTGTGAATTGTTATTTATACTACATTATTTGTATAATTTTAGTTTTAATTATATTAATCCTTTTGCTATTAATGAATTCGCTTTAATTAATCAGTTAGAAATTTTTTGTATTTTAAACTTTATGTTTACTTTATATCATTTTTTGTTCTATCTGGTTGTATAAAAACAACTGTTAGCTATCAGGCAACAAGCCCTTTAGACCCATATCTCTAAGAAAAATGTAAACGTGATACCGAGATTGTTTATCTATCAACTAACGGTGTAAAAGAATTTTGTCTATTTTTCCAATTTTAGGGAACCCCCTTTTCAAATTTTAGTAATCGATTTAAAATAATTTAGATATACAAATTAGAATAATAAATAAATTAGTTAATTGTTATAATCTCAGAATATGCGAAGGAAACTATGGGGGATGCCAAAAGTTTCCTCCTTTTTCGATGGTGTTATATGACCGATAATATCACATGAACGCACATAATTTCTCATTGACAAGAGAGGAGGAGGACCACTAGATGAGCAAGCATGCATTTTTTAAATTATCTCACCTTCCTCCAGAACTAAAGCATGAATGGTCTAAAAGAATGGAAAATAGAAAGAAGCGACAAAATTTTTAGGGAGTGACAGAGAATTTACAGAGTGGCACAAAATTGAGAGATTGGGAGACAGTAAGACAGCATAAAGAGACTGACTGATTAACTGGCCAGACAGGGAATTGACCAGATAAGAGATATCCGACCTAGTAAAAAGCTAAATAAAGAAGAAAGAGGACGAAAAGGGAAAAGAGAACAGAGAGAGAATGCAAAACAGGAAGAAAAAACAACTGTATTCCTGGTATGTTGTAAGTTGCGCGCATTTCGTATACCCCCGTTAGTTACCCCCTCGTTCTATAATAGAAATAGACCAATTTCCTTAATCGGGTCTTTTAATTTTCTTTTTTGAAAATAAACTCTTTTTATTTGACATAACGCTGCATTCATTCTCCTGAGAGAATCATACCTGTAATTCGGAGTTACTCTTACCTTCGCGCCTTAACTTTTTTTTTCTTTTGAATAAATCGGCGGTATTTCCGACGAAACATACCTGAAAGCAGAACCCTATCCTAAACTTGCATAATCTAATTTTTGACAGGCCATCTTACCCCACAATTTTATATCTCTGTTGGTCTCAAAGGTAAGAAAAAAAAATTATTATAATATTTTGCATAATTTTAAAATACTTTAAAAGCATTGCATAATTTAATACCAATCCGTTAAATTTATTTTGCTGTTGTACGTGTGTAAAGGCAGCACATCACATCACCATCAGCAGCACAGACCGAAGTAGACGATCGAAACTCTTATTGTAAGTGGCACTTACCACATCTCTAATTTCAATTTGCCTACTCAGCAGGTCAACAAAACGCAAAAATGAAGTGTTAACAGCAACCCAGTCATCCCATGTGATGCTGAAAACTGCTACACTAATGTGTTTTGGTAAACCTACAAAGACAAGTCATGGGAGTCAAATCATATAAATCATAGATTCCATAGAACAAAGTTGTATTTTTATTCCATTGTTTATTGAAAACCTGTATAATCTGGTTAAATTTGAATCAGCTGTTGCACTCTAATCCTGGTTGAAAACCTGCCATGGTAGCTAGTAGTAGCAAGTTATACAGACAATTGCCAACTGTAAGAGTATATAAATAGACTAACAAGTCGATGAATAAAAGACTATCAAAATGCTCACCCAACATTCGACATCAGTCCTTTAGCGTAAATCGTAACTGGATAGTAAATTTCGTGTACTTGTGACCTAATTACAGTGGTACGCATAATCTCAATTCACCATTATAGAACTATGTGGTTAGTTAATCTATACAATTTTCTCCATTACTTTGAGAATATCGTATGGATTAACTAGGCATTTATTTCTAACTAGGTGGATCGTTTTTCTCAGGATTTACTAGATCTAACTTGGCGTAAACTTATCACTATGTTGCAACAGCAGAATCTTTTGTTCATGAACACTACATGTGCCTATTGCAACTTTCAGTTAAATAGGTGCTTGTTACGTATTTGTATTAATCATTGATGAATTCCTGTATGTTTTAGTCGTTTCCTCACATGTGTACAATTTTGCATATAAAGTAGTGAAAGTCAGTTTGAACTCAACTGTGCTATCAATTTTAGTAAGCAACCTGTTACATTGAAAATAGTCGTATGTGCATTACAATGTTTGTATGTTATAAAGTTTTGTGAAGTTTTGTGGGGTTTTGTTTTTCCCAAAAAGACCAATGAATCATTTAGCAATGTTTTCCATGCGTGTAAGAAATAGTAACGGTGAGCTACAATTTGCATACTGTTTGATGTTTCCTTTCTAATAGCGATATTGAAAATGCCTGATGTTATGTTATTTTTCACATTAAAATTTTACATTGAATATTGATCATAAGATCCTGCTATAAATGTAAAGCGTTCATTACAGAAGTATTCGTGTTTAAGAAATTAATTTATATAACTCTAATCATTACATTAAAACTAATGCACCATATTCATATTCCCGTGCAATGCGAAGAAAATCAATTAAACGTATGAATTAGCATAAACGTATTAAGAATACACATATTTAGCACTTCTCACTTTTTTCTGCGTAAGGTATTTTCACGCAAGAACCATCCTGTCCAGCAAATCGCCATCCGTGGAAAGGACATTCGATACAATCCTCGTGAACCTTGCCATCAGTTCCTAAGTGAGCGCCCAAANGCAATTTTTCCTTTCACAAGTCTGTGATTAGTTACAATAATGTCAACAAAGACAGAAGATACCCAATAAAACTTTAGAAGGAGTTTCCCTTTGATTCTGTTCAACCAACTGTTTGATTTACTGTAAATGGCAGAAAAATTTAATTACCGAAATATTTATGGCCCAGGAGTAATAACAAAACACGTATTGGCTTAAACAAAGTCAATCGACCTACAAAAGAGCGAATCGAAGCTGCGATCGCTGTAAAACTAGAATATAATACAGATGCGCACAATGGTGGCGATCAACAATAGAGATTCTCGCAATCGCGTTTTTCTCGGGAATTTTTTTTTTAGCAGAAGGNAGCATCAGACGGCTACGAAATGTTAATAAAAATTTGCATTCAAAAAGAAAAAAACAAGACTATTTATTTGCAAGTAATTAATTACAAAGCATGACTGAATGGCACATAGTACTTGAATCTCTACACAATTTTATATAAACGAATTTGTAAACATTAATTATTGATATGAGAAAAGAATTTATTACTGTTAACTTATATGAAAGTATACAACATAAAAATATATCATAGTTTTCGAAATATATTTTGCGAACAATTTGATCGAATGGCATTCACAAAAAATAAGGAAGGTTACGTCAGAAGTAGATAACCAAAAACAGAAAAAATAAAATTTATTAAAAAGAAGCCTATTTACAAAAGAGATTTAAAATTACAAGTTTAGTAATTAACAGTTCATTTCAATGACAGAAAATTTCGTTGAGTTGTTTCGATAAGAAATAATTTTTATGCTTTGACATTAGAAATGTTCGTTTTGGAGATATTGCAAGTTGCAGGAATACGAAATCTAACTCTTATGAGAAGTATACTGTTGGCATTTACAATAAATAATAGAATAATACATAATATTAGCAATTGACGTGATAGCGTGCGTAATATTACACATCTATTCTACTATTAATACATAAGCTACATACAGAGAAATATGTAAAAACTTTATATGTACTGAATTTCTACGTTTCTGTATGTAATGAAATGTAATTTTCTATTTGATTACAGTGCTTTTCGTGCTTTAATTTTAGTTACAAATCAATTTTGCTTGGCAGTGTGAAACAATTAATTTTTCTTTCCTTTTGTCTTAGTTTCTTGCATATATTGTAGGGTAATGTTGATATTTCTAATTTATATTTAGATTCATGAGTATTGTTATACTCTTGAATCAAATTTAAAATTGAAGTTAAAAGTTATTTTATTATTTCCAATACCCGAAAAAGACTTGACGTATTTATCTTTTTGCCAATTTTCTTACTTCATACTGTGAGGCACTGAACAAAAATTTTTCGTACGAAAAAAAAAATAAAAAGGATAAGATTATATCTCTTCCTTGACACATCTTGACACATCTTGATTTATTGCCAGGAACCTAACGAAAAGTTCTCTATTGATCGCAAAATCAAACATTTCCAATAACAAGCATAAGCAGTAATGTGGAAAACCCCGAACATAAAAGAACGGGATCGATGACAACAGAGGAGTTCGTCGATCATCTTGAGCTGGTTGGTCAGTAAGATTCACTATCTAGTTGTCAGCTTGAGTTCGCTATTTTATTAGACGCTAGTCCCGATACCGTTAAATAGTTTTCCGGCCGTTTATCTATTTAAGACATCAGATAAATTATTTTAAAATTTACATACACTTATGTTAAAAAGTGTCGCATCTAAGAACAACTTTCGAACGTTCTGCATGGGTATAACACTTTCAGAATTTCTCCAGTGCAGTCCGAAATACCCGTAGAAGTTCCAAGAAAAAAGACTCATGTCTGTGGAAATGCTAAGATATTTTTCACCTAGTGACTGACGGTGAAATTTTTCTCGCGGATAGGGCCTGCTACAATAGTCCTTTTTATATAAAACTTCTAAACTATATAGCTGAACTCTAATACGTATTGATATATACGTGTAAATAGCTTTTCTAAAATAAATAGGTTTTAGAATAGCGAATCTATTTTTTTTTGTGCATTTCTTTCGGTCGCGCTGTGTCTTGGGTTTAAATCCGACCACTTACATAGTACAAGCGCAACCCCTGGCGCGCGAACCCGCAATGGCTCTTCTTGCAATTGATTTGTCCTATAAGGCACAGCTGTGTCAGTTTTGACATGGCACCATTAAGTAGCACGAAGCCTGCGTTCACAATACCATATTGTGTAATTCTTCCATAATAACCACCATTAAACCTAATTAAAAGTATATTTCAGTATCTATAATACTTTACAATAAAAGATAAAGTTTATTATTTTTGTAGAAATCTTGAAATATTTATTGTAATTTAAGTATAGGTAAAACAATTATTTATTAATGTAAGTAATGAGATGACTTTTACTCTAAAACGTCTTTTTTCCACACAATTGCTGTCCCACGTTTATTTACATTTCGCACGAAATAGAAGGCGATTTGCAAT